CCCCGGAACCGCGGGGGGGGGGGGGGGGGGGGCACTCCTCTTCACGTAGAGAGAAAGCACTGGCACTTCTTGAGCTGCATGGAACGGGGCGTGCGGACAGCACGCGCCAACCCCGTTCCAGGGCGTCTTGTCAGACAACTCAAAAGCCAGGAGGGAGGGAGGGCAAGGCTTCACCTTAGTACACTCACCCATGCGGCGAGAGTACGTGCATGCGTTTCGGAAAAGTCCTGGACGAGACAGCAGTTGTTCCAACATTCGGCACCGCCTCTCTTTCAAAAACAAAATCGGTCCAGCAGGTACGACATCCCCATGTCACCCATTTCATGTTTGCCACCTATCCACGCTAATAGTGACGTCACCTGTCTACGGTAGTGACGTCATCGTCTCATGTTGTCACCTACCTACGGACGGTAGTGACGTCACCTGTCTACGATGGTAGTGACGTCATCGTCTCACCTGGCAGGCCATGCCGAACCCGGCGCAGAGAGCGTGAGGAAGAGTGCCCGATCGAAGGCCCTGTCACGGCACACAACATACAGAAGATTGCAGCACAACAACACAGCAGGCAGGAGGGAGGTTGGGTGGACGTTCTCGAAGTAAATTTACTGGGTGTCACGGCACACAACATACAGAAGATTGCAGCCACAACACAGCGGGCAGGAGGGAGGTCGGGCGGACGTTCTCGAAGTAAATTTACTGGGTACAGTCTTGTGTGTGATTGGTTCGTCAATCAAAGGTGAGAGCCACCACACCTCTCGCGCACACCTTAGAACATTCTCTTCCTAGATGTACGCGTTCCCTTGCACCTTCGCGAAGAAATGACGTCATAACAGCGAAACAAAAAACGTTTCATGGGCCGAACAAATAAAAAAACAAGGTAAACAACAGCAACAAAAACAACAACAAACATGATCGGCAGTTTCATGCTCCCACCGCCGCTGGCTCTGTCCACACCTCAAGCGTAGACTACGACGCTACCGCAGGTCATTAAACACTGCCACAAAAACTTGGTGGCATCCATCCTTCTCACCCTCTCCTGCCCCCCGCCAGAGAAGACCGGGTCCAGGCGGACTCGCGGCCGGCGACGGACGTACAGAGCTCCGATTCCCTTGGGGCCGTAAATCTGTCAAAAAACGTTTTTGGGGCAAGGACCATCCCCGGGATTGGCTGGCCTGGAACAATGTGACATCATCACCGATGCACACTCGAACCCCATTGATCTGCGTTGCACCGGTTCCGCTTCTTACCCCCCCGTGGTTCCCCAACATCATGTCGCCCCCAGCGCACGCAGCCATGGGCGGAACCGCGGAACTCCGTGGCGTATACCGCTGTGCTGGCGATCCAGAAGCGTCAGCAGCAACTGCGGGAGTCCCGCAAGTGACCACCGCTGCTACCAGCAGCCAAGCGGTTAATCCCGCTATTTCGCGAGGTTGGATGCCATGGGTGAGGCTGGTTCGGCCTTGGTGCCGACCACCACGCCCATCGTCTACAAGTGGCTTTATCGACCCGGCGTTTGGGAGCATCATGCCGGCCAAGGATTTTCCGCCGATGCCTTGAAGACCAACACGTCTTGTTCCAAATTGATGCGCGAGGCCGGCAAGAGGCGGAGGCCACGGGCCGAGAAATGGAGTGCAATGAGGTACGGATGCGGACGCGCAAGGCGGCTTGTGTGCTGGACGCCAACACCAGGTCTTGGCGCCCAGCGCAGACGCTGCCTTGCGAGTCCGCTGCTGCACCTTCTCACGTTATATATTTCGGGGGCTGTGGCCCTCCACCTCTTGCCGGGCTCGAGCTTCAATTTCGAACGAAACGTGTTGGTCGTCAAGCACCTTGCTAGGCCGGCAGGAGCAAAGGAAAGTAGCAACAAGACCTGCGCCTGTAGGTCGCGCAACTTCCACACAGCTTCGAGGTGATTATAGCCAAGAGGTGCAAACCAAATATTCGTCGGGGTCGAATGCGCGAAGACTACTGTTGTTTTCGTTTGACCCATGACTTAATTTTGATGGGAGCGGGGCGGGTGGCGTGGGGGAGTTCGCACACGTTCGATTATTCAATCGACAGCTGACTAAGCATCAGCAGCGAGGCCTGTCGCTACACCTAACACTTCCCGTCCCGGTACCCAACTGTGTACTGTCTCACCTTGTGGCTAGAGAGGCTCGCGAGGTCCATCTTGAAGTCGTCCACGCTGATCGGCATCTGCCCAGGAAAAGAAAAAAACAGCAGCAGTAGCAGCAGCAGAAACGTCGCCGGCAGCGGCAATCGGTCAACATCGGAGGAGGCACAAGACAGGCTGAACGGTGGTCTAGCTATTGGCACCGCCCACAACGGCAACAGGCGCAGGGAACATAGCCAAGACGGGGGGTCGACGGAGAGGATGCAGGCGCTGGTATGTACCACGCACCGGCGGCGACCCCACGAGGAAAACATCAACATAAAACCCGAGCATAAAAAATCGGCGGTCATCCAGCAGCAAGCTACACAAAAGCAGCAGCAGCAGCAGCAGCAGCAGCAGCAGCAGCGACCGTACAGGTAAAAAATACTTCAAAATTGAAAAAAAAAAAAAAGAAACCGCACACGCATCCGCAAACAAAACCGAAGCAGCCCGCGGAGCCCCCCCCACCCCCTCCCCACCTTCCCCAGCATCTGCGCGATGTCCGAGTGGAAGAAGACCTTGTTCTTGCGGCAGATCTCTCCGATCTCCTTGAGCGGCTGCACCACGCCGATCTCGTTGTTGACCGCCATCACGGAGCACGCCACCGTGTCCGGTCTGATGGCCGCGGCGAGCTCGTCAAGGTCCACCAACCCGCTCCCCGACTGCACGGGGAGGTACGTCACCTAAGCGCGACGAAGGGGGGGGGGGAGGGTGACGCGAATTGAGGGGGGGGAGGTAGTGGGGGAGCGTGCTCTCATGTTTCGCATGCCTTGGCGGCTAGACCATTTGACCACGCGTCCTCGAGAGGATGGTGTATTTCTCCCACAGCAGGACCCATCACCCATTGCCAACCGTTCCTTCCTACTTTGCCAAAGATGGCCC